TTTTTTAAGCATAACATGTTCATCTGCTTAAAAAAAACAATTGGCAGAACAAGGTTTATTTAAGTATCAATAAATATTTATCTCAAAGAAAATATGATTGTCAATCACTAATTTACTGAAAATACTCTTATAAAAATAACAAAAGTATTTGGCCTATTCATCACAGTTTTAGAATTCAACAGGGATTGGCTACCTACTATTGAGTTAATTGTGATGGTACTGTTTATCAAAATAGCACAACTATTCAAAATGCCTGTTGAGAATCTTAGTTAAATAACAAATTGATGGATACTAAAGATACCTGGTGGATTTTTCTTTGTGTGACCAAAGATATAAACTAAGACATTTTGCATCAAAAACACTGACTAAAAAATAGATGGAATCAATTCTGATCAGACATAGACAATAATTACAACAAAACAAAAAAACTGGTAGAAAAAAAATTATAGTACAGCATCATGTCTAAGAAAATACTAATTAACATGTTAAATTAATCCATGTGCTGCATTAATCTCATAACGTAAGTTGTATGAAATTTGCATTACAACAGTTAGCGAAAAAAGTACACTGAGCTTGCAGCCTCTCAGCTGAGATACTGTGCTGTTAGGCAATGCACATCAATAAATACAGGTGATTAACATAAATATTATGTAAATTATATAAATATATATTATCGACACGCGAATAAGTAGTTGGTTTCTAAAACTGAATCACAAACCACAATGAACACATTCATTTGCCCTGGGGGGTAATTGTTTTTGGGGTGTCACGTTCTTCCTGAAAAAAAACAAACATGGAACATGGTGAATTGAGCGAGCGTTGCCCCCCCCCCCCCCGATCGTAAACATGCGTATTGACGGTGAACAATCTGTCAATCAGGAGCAGTAGAAAAAACATCCATTTTTCGTGAATTGTTAGTTTAGAAACGATCGACTAAAATGAATTTTCAAGTAAAGATTTTGATTGGGATAAAACGACTTGTAGAGTTGATACCGGATCACCGACGCCGATACAGAGGCAAAAAACAACATTACATGTAATTCATCTGCCACCAAACAGAAATAAAATACAATCAAGGCCAAAAGAGTTAATGAATGCTACTTACTTGTTATTTTAGACAACGATCCATCATCGAAAGAACTGCGTTGTTAATAAGTTGTATGAGGTCCAGCTCACGCAAAAGTAGCAGCAGTACGCCGCCATGTTTTGAGTCATGCTCAGGCGCGTTTGTAACCCGTGATCTGATTGGTTGGTCCCTGTGCGAGATTTGTACGAGATTTGTATAGGCATTGAGTCAGATGTAGTTAGAGGAGAGTGGGACACAATTTTCTAAGAACTGATTAACGGCAAGAAAAACCAAAAAAATCGACATACTAGTATTCAAACTAAAATACAAATAAATATAATATAAAGGGTTATATATATATAAAAAAAAAATATTAAAAAAAAAATAAAAAATTGGAGCCTCATACCTACATCGGATTTTAATCAGATTGTAATGGTATGTTCTGTTGATTTATAAAGTTGATAAAGTCTCGTTAAATTCGAGATCCGAGATCTGTCTTCCCGCGATACTACTGTTTGGTCTTGATTGACGGTATTTCCATGGAGTTACTGTATCCTTCATGAAAGTGTTTTTTGCGAAAATGTTGTAGTCGCTACGTAGTAAGCTAATGAATCGCCAATTCTTAATTAGAGAAATGTCACCTTTTTCGAATTTCAGCAATAAACGCTCTTCACCATGAAAGGGGTAGTACTCTTATATATGCTGCTAAGATTTACCGACCAGACCAGAAAGTACTACCTGTCATTCTATTTGGCAGTTTTGAATTAGTGCAGATTCTGTACAGAAACAACAATTGTTTTAATTGTGTAATGAATTGGATTTGAAATATAAACTGTCTTTCCTGTCTTTGAAAACATATACACATTTCTTGAATACGTGTATGAATTCGAGTTGGTGTATTTTGATGAAAAATCGATGTGTGCAAGGAAACATTTTCGGCGTTGATTTTTACAGGGTCTTGAACGTTTGGAGTTTCATAAATTCTCTTTACGGTATGGCAATATGCCGGCCTTAGCGAAGCTAACAACAACTTTGAAACAATAACATTCTCTAATACGCACGTGTGTTGAGTGTTTCATATTGATTAAATCCTTGGTTCAGTTCATATAGACTTATATATACGCAGTGTATTGGCCCAGCAAGTAAAGACAAGAAATAGAATTTTTGAAATAGTTGTCTTACATAGAACCGAAGTTCGGGGCAGGACGGAGAGTGGCGGCTTTAAAATATGGGAAGAATAATTCTCATACATGTATACCAATACGCACGTTTGTTCAAAAAATATAACTTGTATTTCAATATACGACGTTATTAATTGTAACAAAACAAAAATGTAAATAAATAATAATAACTCAATGTATCTCACAACAAAAGTATTGCACTACTAGTATTATGTGTTGGGTTATTTTTCAGCTTAGTACATGGCGCGGTGCGCAGATGGCATGTTGTAGTTGTAATGCCCGATGGCAGAATGAGAGGTCGTCGTCGTCATTCTATGATATGTCGGGTAGTAGGTAGTGGGACATGTCGCTGTCGACGGAGACGGTACTGAATACGACGATGGCATCATCGGAGTACTGGCAAGCGACATGGTGGTCATCGGTTGTGGTTGCTGGGGAACGGACCCGATGGATGAGGCGGTGCTCGACATGCAAGGATGTGACGGATATGCTCCATTGATCGGATAGGATTGCATATAATTGTGAGTGGTGTGCGCGTACATTCCAGCGTGTGACATCGACATATCGGGGACGTCGTCTTTTCGTTCACGCTTCCACTTCATGCGGCGGTTTTGAAACCATGTTTTTACCTGTCAATGTGATACAATTCAATTAGTATTAAAAAAATACATTTGCGACAGGTAATAGCGCCACCACAGTCAGAAGTGACAAAAATATGATACGTAGCCTGAAATTACGTGTACAGTAGCCTTGAATTTAGAGATGCTATTGTCTGCAAGATAATCCCAAAGACGACCAATTATAGAGACCCCGACTTGTCTGAAGTGAATTCATGCATTTACACATTGGCTAACAGTCTTACCTGTGTGTCAGATAGTCCAATAGAACGAGAAACATCCTCCCTTTCAGTGGCGGATAAATATTTCTGTGCTCGGAATCTCTTCTCTAATTTATAAACCTGTTCGTTACTGAAGGCAGTGCGAGCTCTCTTGCGTTTTGGTCCGTGTTCGTTGTTACCATCGCAACCGCTATCAGGTGATTCTATATTGGAGCAAAAAAACGGAAACCTTATAAATGCTTATCTTCAACCAATATTTCAATGCTCTTAAACAACCGTCATACGCAATCCATGCAACCGAACTGTGAAACAAGCAACAAATTTCGACGCTAACAATAATTGCGTGCTTACCGGGCGTAGATGTAGCTATAGGAGATGGGTCATTTGAAGTTTGTTGTGCCATGTTCCTCGCCAATATCATGGCAATCTCGTAGTCATTCGTATCTGGTCTGCTACCGCCAACCCCAATATGCATGGCGGTTGGTGTTGCTGTATGTTGAACCATGATATAGTGAATCTCGAATACGCAGCGATAATGTATCGATGGTAGATATGCCCAAGCCGAAATTTATAGTCTACAGGTGTGAACAGCTTTGACTGCGTTACGTTTACAATTGAAGGCGTCTTTTCCAATGCTTTTATAACAGACGTTAACACTTAGAGATATGTCAACAGCTTGGTGTTATCACGTGTCAACTCTTGTTGGACGTGCACAGGATTTCTAGCAACCTCGTTAGTTGACAACGTGTCTTATTGTGACATATACAAGACTGGTCTGGCGATAGGCACTATGTCTGAACACGACTAATAACATAATTGAAATTCAACATTAGAAAACTCATAATATAAAAAGTTCACATATTAAAAGTGGTGTTCGATGTAAAATAGATTTGATTCTGACTATCGTCATACTTGTTTTGAATTTACATAACACTGGCTTAATAATGCTGGCCTTTGTTTCACTGTTGTTTTTGTAAATCAAATTAAGAATTTTGTTTCGATGGCCATTCACGATTGTTTTATATCAACTATAACATAAATTTAACACATATTTTTACCTCCACACTAAACTATGTAGTTTGGTGTAACCCTTGATATATGATTAACACGACAACGAGGTAACTCGTAATTCATTTTAATCGGTTCATAATTATACTGACAGCCACAATTTATTTTTATTCAACAAATTGTCACAAATCAAATGGAAGTTGTCGATGCTTTACAGCATGCCATGATACTGTAAAACCATTTATTTTCACTGGCATTCACTATTTTCATGTTTTGAACATATTCACTGCTCTGTAAATTAACACACTTGGCAGGAAAACAATGAGTTCTATTGTTGTTTTACATGTTCACGTGGGTTTAATTTAGCGGGTTTTACTTATCGTCAAAAACAGAGAAATTAAAACCTAGTGAATAATTAATGCATTTTTAATAGTTGTCGTTCTTGTACGTCTCACATACGAAGACGTAGCCAGAGATTTGTAGTAAAGGACGTTCTCATTATAGTACGTCTCAATATACGGGGACGTAGCCAGAAATTTAAAGGTCGTTCTTATTATAGTACGTCTCACATACGAGGGAGGTAGCCAGATATTTAAAGGTCGTTCTTATTATAGGGCGTCTCAATATACGGGGACGTAGCCAGATATTTAAAGGTCGTTCTTATTATAGTGCGTCTCAATATACGGAGACGTAACCAGGTAAAATACATAGTTCGTGTTTTCGTAGGCTGGGTGATTATAAATCAGTCTATAATATAAATCATGTCCAATTCAGACGTGCCATTGAGACACTGATTGTCACATTGATGTCTAGTATATATGGTGCAAAGTGATTTATACACACCCTATAGAATAAGTCAATCGTATCTATGAAGCCCGGATTCTCAATTAACGTCTCAATAAATTGTTTTATTAATGGTAAGACAAATATGATAAAAAATATTTTTAATAGATTTACAAGGTAACAAAAACACATGGTATATATATATTTGAAAAACAGATTTTTATTCAAGTTTGTGTCATTAAAACACAACTATGGTGGAATACGTTTTGTTTTTGAATGCTAACTGATATCATTTGTCTGTTCACTAGTGCACGATTTTATTAGCTGTTATTGTGATACAACAATCAGTTAAAATTGCCTATTCTGATGCTTTGCACAATCATAGCACATGGACACAGTTCTGATGTATGATAAACACTTAAGTGTCGGAGATGCAATAAACAATATTTAAATGGCCGTAAACTCTACTAAACTCCGTGTTTTAATGTGTTGTGAAAACTCCAAATACTAACAAATGCTCACTGGTTAGAAAGAATTATTTAATATATTCTACAATGCTTTTCACTGAATACTTTATAAAATGTTTTAATACAATCTTCATAAACGAAAAGTAAAAAACAAAACAATCAAAACGTGTCTAATGTACAGAATGAAACGAGATATTGCGACTTGGGAAGTATTTTCTACCAAACTTATTCTAAATGGAGGTAAATACCATTTATAATATTTGTGAAAACTGCTTTACGTAAACTTTAAATCTGGGTCGACGTGATACTACTTGATCGTGAATATTCTTTTTTTCTCAAGATTGTGCTGGTTTTGTTATGTTATTATACAGTACCTACACAATGGCGAGTAGATATGTGTCTTGAATGTCGTCTGGTTTGAAAAACTAATTTCGCGTAATTCTATAAAATGAGGTTAATATAGGAATACCATGAAGTATGCATAGTTGCAGTACGGTGATCGTATCGACCGATGATTGTAATTAGTAATGGTCGGTGCCATCCAGAATACTGCACGAGTGCATATTATCCTAGTAATCTTATTATTATTATTATTATTATTATACACCTTGTCGCTTTTATAGTCATATTTATTGAGAGATGTGAGGCCAAAATGACAGCACAAAAAATAAAAACATTTTACACGAGTACGTCCGCCAAGACTCAACATTGTCGTTGTGGTCATGATGTAATCGTGGTGCGAACACTGGAAAGTATAGATGTGGCTCAAAGGAATGGATATGCATCTAGATTATATTGTTTTCCATAGTCACTAGTACCTAATTTCTAAATTCTCATTATATTCTCACATACGTATTCATTATAACTTGCCATTATTATAATGGATGTCGCGTTTTATGCAGTTAGTAAACTTAAGCCATAACTCTCGCATTGAACAATAGAATGACGTATCATCCAGCTGAATGCTCATTCGCACTCGAGACAAACGTAATAAAATGATGCACCGTTTCACAGTTTACATCTTTACCGGTCACAGCTGTGATTCTTACTATCAATGGGTATCCACCTCAGGCACGTGGCACCAATTTCAGAACAAAGCAAAAAAACTGCCTTTTAGTTGGCGTGTTCTTTTGTTGAATAGTTTAATGCGGGTATTCTGACTTCAAGACGGAAGTGATCTTATTCTTTATAGAACATGCAGCTCACCAGCATATTTATATTCTTTAGACTGCGTACTATCAGATGAATGAAATTAACAGCACTCATTTATCAAATATGTACTATTAAAAGTGGTCGATTGATTTATTTGCAAGTAGAACTATCGAAATATTAATGTTGAAGCCAACATTGCTACTTCGAGACATCCACCAAGACGGTGCACACACATTTCGCATCTATTCGGCTGCGGGTGTTTTTAAAAGAAAAAGAAATCTTGTATTCTTGAGTGTTTTAATAGGCGGTGGTCGTATTTTACGTTGGTTGTATACGCCGCCATGGGTCTCATATCGAACATATTTAATAGGCGAGAATAAAGAAACAAATAAAATGTGTTGCAAGACTTGATATACGTTGATGCATCGCATTTATAAATCTCGATATACATTTTCGGCGATCACAGCCATCGCAACACCGCATTGCAACACATCGTACTAGCAACAATTTTAAGAAAAAGCGAACCCACTCTATTACTCACCACATAACGTGCGAGAGTAAATTGATATTATAGTATAAGTAAATTGGTAAATACCAATTGCAGCGAATGAAAACAATATCACATATAATTTGAAATTTTAGTCATTCACATTTTTTGGACGGAGTGATGCGCTTAACACATAAATGACCCAGTGATACTGTAACCGTTTAATAAGCTTATATCGATATATTTCAAACATTGTGGCGATATGATATCACTTGAAACAACAAGTATTGCCGTGATGTAATTCTGCCGGCAACCTGACTTTTAATAGTATGTTCATCTAGTATGTACATTTCATAAACGCGCCGCGCCGTGTTCGATATATGGATATACTAGTATACGTTGTTTGTTTACATGTAAATTAGTAAGCACGATTGTATGAGCTCAAGGATGTCCCACGACGGCACCGCCGTAATTTAAAACAATTGTGAAAAATGTGAATGCAAAAATGTTTTCATGCATACGTAAAGAATTTAAAAAAATAGTTGAGGTGCACGAAAATTCCAGTCATTTTCAACTCCGATGTGATTAAAATAATATCTTATTGGACTTTCGTTTTACATTTTTGATTTTTTGTGTGTGATTGTATTATTTTTTCAATTATTCCCCCAACTTTAATTTGATCTGATCGCTAAAACCCTATAGACCTGAACCACTTACAAAGCAGACCTCGTTTAACTATCGCAAACTTCAATAACAAAACAGAGAAAGCTTTATATATTGCCATGATTGGACTTTCTCGCTTGCACAAGACCGGCATAATCACATAATAAATTCGAAAAAAAAAATATGAATGAACAATTGAAAAAATGGAAAGTATAGAAGAAAAGTCCAATAAGATCCAATTCCAATCAGATTGTTTCGAATCCGGATTGTTGTAAAATCGTACTGGAGTAGCATATAATCGTTCCCCTTTACTAATAACTCGTGCGTTACAGGCATGGTATATTTATTTTCGTGTACGGTATATATTGTTTATAATAACTCGTTTAGTGCCAAGTATAATTATTTGACAAATCCACCAACTTATTAGTATTTTGAAAGATTTGTATCGTATTTGATTGCCGGGCTGGTAACAGAACGATTGAAAAGTCGGCGTTCTGAACAGTGCGTGGCCGAAAAGTCGGCATTCTTAACAGAGCGTGACCGAAAAGTCGGCCGTCTGAACAGTGCGTAACCGAAAAGTCGGCCGTCTGAACAGTGCGTGGCCGAAACGTCGGCCGTCTGAACAGTGTGTGGCCGGACCGTCGGCCGTCTGAACAGTGCGTGACCGGACCTTCCTACATTCCAATAGTCTAAGAATGTGAATTTGTCTATCATGACATTCGCTGAGGTTTTCGTTTGTATAGCCATCCCAACCAAATCCCTTCTAGAGTAGGGACTGTAGATACTGAGTACCAGTACGAAAGTCGTGATTCGAACCGAGATGGGCAATCTTTCTCAGTCTCCAAATTTAGAAATGACACAAATAAATATGCGAATTGTCAATCTTCATGTGTACAAATCAAAACTGCGATTATTATTAAATATGCATTAAAACAAACTGGCCGATTACTAGTCTGATAGCAACACCACCTTTGAAAGAAATGACGACTTTGTAATGTTGTGTTGCCATGCGCTCTTAATCAAATCATATTGTCACGGTAAACATAAATTGATGAATTGTAAATCAATTTGTACTACATTGGGTATATTTGGAAACTTCAATAACCATAAATCTGACGTTCGACGAAATCATTCAACCAATTAAACCTCTCAAAGCATCATCGCCTCCGCACGTTTCTAAAATACACTACATGTGGTATTCTTGTTTGCTCCGGAATCTCGTCTATGAGCCTGAACCGACAACACATGATGCATCTCCCATTGCACACAGAAAGTATTAAAGCGGGAGGGCCGTCACCTGCGCACGCGCGGGAATTGAGTCCTAGGCGATGATAACAACACACGCTAAGAAGCTCATGGGTAGAAGAGTGTTTATAAACAATGACACGCTATGGCCACCTGACGCATGCGTAGGTGACGACTCCCCCGTTTTAACCCAAATGCCTAAAACTGGCAATATCTTAAATCGGACGTTAGTATTTTATTTCCAATAAGACCAAAAAACAACTTATGTTGTCCTCAAGTCGGAAAATTGAAAAATTGGGTCGGTCGGTCGGTCGGATATTTTTTATTTTTTATTTTAAGAGAAATACAAATCAACCCGAGGTTCAAAGTCGCCACTTATCCCCGGGGGACCCTGGGGATCAAACAACGGCCCTATATCGTTAATTTTAAGAGGAAACACATTTTTACTGATTAAAATGGCGAGTTTTTAATATTTGGGCCTATTAAAAAAACAAGACTCGATATTTCATATATTTCGGTCGGTCGCTGAGGGCAACAAAACGTTTTTTTTTTTGTTTTTTTTTGGCCTAATAAAATTGAAAACATCTGTACATGATCCTGGTACGGATTGTACAGTCTCGCTTACCACATCGGATCACATAGTTTTTTTGTCGACGAGGGCGCTACGACTGGACAATTGGCGATACAGCTGAGGCGCTTTAGAGGGCATGAACAATGAATCATGAACTATGGGAGATATACTCAATGGTAAAATTTACGTGCAAAACGTTCATTTATGATTTTAAATCTCAATTAACGTGCTCACTTATGATCAAAATAGTGACATTTACAACAGCTCGATTTCCATAAAAAAAAACGATTTGTAGAAAAAGTTCAGAACTCGTTCCTTCTTTCGAAAACAATGTTTGTTTAAAAAAAAGTGCAATTATAATTTTTCATATTTGAGAGCTTGTGTAGAATAAAGACCGACAAAGACTTATTTCCAGACTTTGCCACATGTACTCCTGTTGTCACGTTGGTTAGCATGTTAAAGTCAGCATGGTAGGGAGTGGACTTCTAAACACATGTCTAACGTTACAACACTAGTCTTCCGAGGGACATTTTCTGTACAATTATAGCCCGTACCAGTGCTATATCCACGCGACCGCTATCCGTGAAATATCTAGATACTGCACCATCACCATCACCTCGTTCATGTTACTTCACCCAATTTTGAAGTGACTTACACTGCAAGCAGAAGCATTGGTTGCTGGCTTCAAAGCTCGCAACTCCGAGATCAAATACTTTAGTCTACCAGGAATTTGATTCGCTCGGTCGGATTTCATGGTGTAGTAATAAATATTCATTGATAATGCAGAGTAACTCGTCTCCCTGCTGCAATAAGTTTATATGCAAATGTAAATAGAAGCAAACCAAAAACGTTTGGACACCAGGCTGTAAACTTGACACAGCCAATCATTCGAACGCTAGGTGGTCATTATAAACTCCCAGTTAGTTTTATTTCATAATAAGTGTAGTATGGGTGATAAATATAAAAAATAAAGGATCAAAATCTACAGATTCAAGGAGTTTCGTACGAACCCAAGATTGTATTCATCCCTGGTTGGGGCTAATCTGCACTGGCTCGGAAGGTTGTAAATGATTAGCTAGTTTGAATTTGCATAACAATACTTACTGACAATGAACGTGCATTCAACGCCACAAGTTTTTTTGTTTTTTTAGCCAATCAGAATTCATCTTCCGAGCCAGTGCAGATCAGCCGCCTGGTTGACGTGTTGTAAGCCTAAACTTGTATAGTAAAGATACGTGTCACATTAGAGTGACACTATAGTACACCATACACATTCTAAAACTTCCATATTATTTTTAAAAGTTTCAAAAGATTTAATTTATTTAAAAAAATATTTGTAAATACACGTTTGCAGCGCTGAAAATTGCACATTATTAAAAATGAAGTTGAAAATACAAAACTTAGGTAATCTTAACAATGCAAGATACAGGGGTCATAATTGGTATTAGGTCACGTTATCAGTACATGACTGGTGGAATATCATAATGTCCCGTCATTGGTCTTAGTTGGGATGACGTAAGGGGAGAGCAATAACTTGGAAGCGGTGGTGCACATGTTCTCGACGCAGACGACGCAACGCTAACTGGCGGATACGAGCTCGTTGGAATCTGGTACGGAGACGACATTTGACTGTGTGGTGATGAGAGTCTAACTGTCGTCATTGGCGTCGGTTGCTGGGGCAACATGGATGGAGAAGACACCATGCTAGAAAGACCAGGATGTGATGGGTACTGCATAGGGTAGGGGTACACTCCAACGTGGTGAGGAACGTCGTCGCCATCTTTCTTCTGTCGCTTCCACTTCATACGACGGTTTTGAAACCAGGTTTTGACCTTAAAAAAACAAGAATAGAGTGAATAACGTGGTTCTCAATAATACTTGCACAGCTCAACTTGAGATTATTATTTTCCTTATATCACCATTTCAAATTCACAGATAGCAAACTTACTTGTGTGTCAGTGAGCCCTATTGATTCGGCAAATTCCACTCGCTCTGTGGCCGAAAGATACTTCTGAAGACGGAATCTCTTCTCCAATAGACCAATCTGTTCGTTGGTAAACGCAGTACGTGCCTTTTTCCGACGTGGATTTGAGTCGCTTCCATCAGAGCTCGTCTCAGATACTAGAAAGAATAAAGAAGGAAAACTCGATTAGTTCAGAATTTAATCGTGCATTTTTGATGGAAGCCATGGCGCAAACCATTGTAACTTGGAGGTTATTTGATTCAACACGTGGCGTGGTACGTGTACTAGTACACAGAGAATATCTCTTATCGACTGGAAACATTGTTGGAATATTCTACTTACCAGATGGTGAACTGACTGAGCTGTCAGATATTCCTACAACATCAATTGGTTCTTGTTTGCAATGAATGCCTATCTGAAACATGGTTGGATTGGATGTCATCGGAACAGCTTGCTGGCTATGGTGTGATGTCGCAACTGTTGTGTTAATTCCCATACTGGTTATTGGCATGGTTCTGTTTTGTGCCAGGAGCATTGCAACTTCAAAGTCATTCGACGATTTCTTCATAATTTGAGATGGGAGTCCGGAATGGTTGTCACTGCTTCTGTTTTGCACCATGTTAGAAGCTATCGAACTATGAGGTGTGTCGTTAGAAAGCAGACCAGTGAGTGACGATATGCGTGGAAATACCAATCTTATAAAGGTCATCGACTCTATTGTTTTAACCCTAATTTGCAATTTAAATGAGTGGTCGGTAGGTGGTGAAATTTGACGTACAGAGTGGAACATTCCATTCATTCAGCTGTACCCCTATCCAAACCTGTTAATTGCCCGGGAAGTCACATCGGAGGGCGATTCGCACATTTCCCTTTTGTGCAAAGACTACTGGTACAGGTACCAGACCTGTCAGTGTAAACAATAATTTTATTAGCGATTTTTTAAAAACCCTTTACACTTTTTATGAGTACAAATGTTTTTTTATTTAAATTCTAATTGAAGTTTTTAATCATTAACCCTTGTTTGCGAAGAATAGTACTTGATAAAAAACACCTGAGATTGCATGCACAGTTTTAATTTGAGTTTTCGAAGTGAATCAATATAATTACATCACTGAACGATACAATTTTGAAGAGTATTGCTTCTACGATGTCATCGACATTTCACTGAAATATGTTCACATATTTATTCATATAGTTGTAAAATGTTCTGGTGCTCAGATGATTGATGACAAAAAATGGCCGTAACTATCGTGGTCGAGACTAGAGTGTGACACCCGTTCATGTACTACACATTCGTGAGTGGATTCCACTCTTCATCTAGAATACTACGAACAACGCAATTAAGGTAATTGATTGTGAATTGTAATTGTTCTATTTAAGCAAATTATTTGTAATTGTATATATCAATGACATGTAACAGTCCGATATGAAATATGTTGGGACCGCAGTACAGCCGTTATTGTTTCCTGCGATTGTCTTGGGGAGAGACAAAAATATGAATATATTTCAACTGAAATATTGGTAGGCACTTGCAATAGTTATCTGCCATGAGAACCGAGGTCTGATATTCAAACGTATCTCGTTATTTTTGATACTACATATTCTCAAACTATTTTCACCAAATCTGAAGTCTTTGTTGAATGGTATTACTTGCCAATTGATGTCTTGCTAGTCTTTCCTAGCCCTCCGTTACAAGTGTTAATGGATCAATCCCCCGCGTACGTGATTGCGGCTATTGTAAGGAAGTGCGTATCACTTCTCTTATTCGTATTGTGGTTTATTGTCTTATTTCTTATTGTCTACCAAACTAACTCCGGTATCACCATAATAGACGCTGACGTAATATGTCACACGACAAAGTTGATGCAGTAACAAAACAAAAAACTGAAATGAAATCTTTTAAGTAACACACAATAATTGCTTTTCCGGGCTGCACAATACAACAAACAAATCCGGTGTGTGGTCGTTTCGGTCCGCAAGTCTTGAACTCGGACTTTGGCGGCATATTTTGTATAATTTTCATTTGTACATTTTCCGCCATGTATAATCGAAGTATGACTGGTAGTTGGATTTTGTCTGCACTATCACGCTATACGCATACAACAGATCTAACAAATTAAAACATTGTAATGTTTCATCTGTTGAATAACGTAATTAGAAAGGGTTAATTTAATTTGATAGATTTGGGTAATTCTTGTTAATGATTATCAATCACGTTGTTGATGGCCATTTAGTTAATAATTGATTCGATTATTTGATTCTAAAACCTAGTATTCCAGTAAATATTTGTAGAGTGAAATATATCATGAGTCATCAGCTTTTCGTGACGTAATATAAGTTTTAATGACACTTCTGTATTTTAGAAAATTGCGTTGGTAATTTACTACATGTACCAGGATCACGGCGAACATATACACGTGAGCGCCCTCTATAGGTTGTTGAAGTTCACCCGTGTTTGACACCAGCGCTATTGCGGAAGGATAACGTATGAACGATACTTTGCGATTATTGAATCGATATTGAGATCGATTTACATGTATTGGCCTCGCTCGGGGTCTATATACAGTTATTTGCCTCGGTATCGATTGGAGTCCATATACAGGTAAATCAAATTAACGAACTCAAGGGAGGCCATAGTAACACGCATTCCGAGTATGTCATCAGTTTGCATCCTAACATTCGATGCTATTGTTCTGGTTTATAATTAGGTTAAATATAATAATTAAAATGAACATCCTAGTTGTCAATTTTCCGCACTGCGGATAGGAGTGTAGATCTCCGTCCCTCGTCGCTTGTTCAAGTTGGCAATTCAGTAATGTTGATGTGAGTGACGAATACGCTGCGTTAAGAAATTGTCAGCGACGCAAACATACAAGAGTCCGATATGGTAATCGAGCTCTGGTCTTTAAAGTCATATAAGCGAGCAACAATTTAAGCGCCCGGATACCATGACAACATAACAACGTATGGTGCATCTATTTCGATGAAGAACGTTCATTTATTTTACATTTTATTGAATTTTATTACAAAATAAACCAACCAACCACAGTAACGTTTCAACCGAATAGTCCGGCATACAACAGATCTATCAAATTAAAATATCGTAATGTTTCATCGTTTAAATTTGGGAAGAGACAAAAAATATGGATATATTTCAACTTAAATATGAAACGTACCAGATTATGGTAGACAATAGTAATGTTTATCTGCCGTGAGAATCGAGGTCTGATATTCAAAGTTGTATAAGAAAACAATTTCCGAAAACAAAAGTATCTCGTTATTTTTGATACTATATATTCTCAAACTATTTTCACCAAATCTGAAGTCTTTGTTGAATGGTATTACTTGCCAATTGATGTCTTGCTAGTCTTTCCTAGCCCTCCGTTACAAGTGTTAATGGATCAATCCCCCGCGTACGTGATTGCGGCTATTGTAAGGAAGTGCGTATCACTTCTCTTATTCGTATTGTGGTTTATTGTCTTATTTCTTATTGTCTACCAAACAAACTCCGGTATTACCATAATAGACGCTGACGTAATATGTCACACGACAAAGTTGATGCAGTAACAAAACAAAAACTGAAATGAAATCTTTTAAGTAACACACAATAATTGCTTTTCCGGGCTGCACAATACAACAAACAAATCCGGTGTGTGGTCGTTTCGGTCCGCAAGTCTTGAACTCGGACTTTGGCGGCATATTTTGTATAATTTTCATTTGTACATTTTCCGCCATGTATAATCGAAGTATGACTGGTAGTTGAATTTTGTCTGCGCTATCACCATAATGTCGACATGACAACTTTGTACATGAGAAAATAGAATTGAATAATTTAATATTTTAAATAAAATTATAATTAATTGGTTTAAATATTTGTTTCATATGGTGCATTTTGTCGATGAAGAACGTTCATTTGTGTTACTTTTTATTGAATTTCATTACAAAATAACGAACCAACCGGCACACTAACGTTTCGACCTAAAAGTCCGGCATACAACAGATCTAACAAATTAAAACATTATAATGTTTCATCTTTTGAATAACCTAATTAGAAAGGGGCTAATTTAATTTGATAGATTTGGGTAATTCTTGTTAATGATTATCAATCACGTTGTTGATGGCCATTTAGTTAATAATTGATTCGATTATTTGATTCTAAAACCTAGTATTCCAGTAAATATTTGTAGAGTGAAATATATCATGAGTCATCAGCTTTTCGTGACGTAATATAAGTTTTAATGACACTTCTGTATTTTAGAAAATTGCGTTGGTAATTTACTACATGTACCAGGATCACGGCGAACATATACACATATACACGTATAGATTGTTGAAGTTCATTCGTGTTTGACACCAGCGCTATTGCGGAAGGATAACGTATGAACGATACTTTGCGATTATTAAATCGATATTGAGATCGATTTACATGTATTGGCCTCGCTCGGGGTCTATATACAGTTATTTGCCTCGGTATCGATTGGAGTCTATATACAGTTAAATCAAATTAACGAACTCAAGGGAGGCCATAGTAACACACATTCCGAGTATGCCATCAGTTTGCATCCTAACATTCGATGCTATTGTTCTGGTTTTTAATTAGATTTATTATAATAATTAAAATGAACATCCTAGTTGTCAATTTTCCGCACTGCGGATAGGAGTGTAGATCTCCGTCCCTCGTCGCTTGTTCAAGTTGGCAATTCAGTAATGTTGATGTGAGTGACGAATACGCTGCGTTAAGAAATTGTCAGCGAGCGACGCAAACATACAAGAGTCCGATATGGTAATCGAGCTCTGCTCTTTAAAGTCATATAAGCGACAACGATCCAAGCGCCTCTGGTACCATGACAACATAACAACGGCACATTGCCATTTTAAAAATAAATTAAAACCATGGATATGTTCACCATAATTTAGCAAACTTATGTTACGTAACGAGACAGACAGGGACGTTATTTAAAGGCACCAACGTCCCTGTGATGACTATTCCACACACTTCCCGTTTCTCAGAGAATTGCTCTGTCCATCTGGAATTCTATGAACAATACTATTAATGTAATTGATTATGAGCGGTAATTGTTTTGTTCAAGCAAATTATTTGTAAAATTGTATATGCAATTGTCTTGGGAAGAGACAAAAATATGGATATATTTCAACTGAAATATGAAACATACCAGATTATGATAGACATTGTAATATTTATCTGTCGTGAGAATTGATCTCTGATCTTCAAAGCTGTATAAGAAAACAATTTCCGAAAACAAAAGTATCTCGTTATTTTTGATACTACATATTCTCAAACTATTTTCACCAAATCTGAAGTCTTTGTTGAATGGTATTACTTGCCAATTGATGTCTTGATAGTCAATCCCCCGCGTACGTGACTGCGGCTATTGTAAGGAAGTGCGTATCACTTCTCTTATTCGTATTGTGGTTTATTGTCTTATTTCTTATTATCTACCAAACTAACTCCGGTATCACCATTATAGGCGTGTCGCATACGACTTATTTACCACTTCCGTGTCACTGAGAATGTTCTAGAACCGTACTGTGTCTGGGTGGAATATTCTATATTTTTTAGAAAATGGTTGACTAGGTAATAGAACACTGTAGGAGGCAATAGAAGGTAATGGAACATTCTCGAAATTTGTAGTAAGTT